CTCGCTTGAGACGACGATGACTATGATGACGATGACGGAGAGAGAGAGAGTGAGAGAGAAAGAGTTGATAGAGATGAAAATTGATTTCGATAACGTCAGTGATGGTGGTAGAGGTGAAGGCGCAAACAATGATAGAGCAAAACACTTACTGCTCATAAAACTTAGGCGCATAGATGTAGATGTTTTCCACTTGCTTCTCAGGTTCCCAGACCATGCTCGAGGTGTTGAGGACGAATTCAAATATCAACGAGACCAACGCGTCCTGAGACAGAAAAGCAGGAGGGAATACATTCGGAAAGATCGATGGAGAAAGAATGGGAGGTGAAGAGAGGAGAGGCGAAGTGAAACAAGTGGACAAATGACACAAGGAGTGAGAAAGAAGACGAGATGTCAAGATCGACTCCAAAATTTCAACCAGCGACTTCACCTCTGCTCCAACATGAAGTTCACCTTCCACCGTCTTACGGAAAGCCTGGGCCTTCTTCATTGTAATTATACTTCCCTTTCCTGTAAACCTCTCATCATGCACAATCATGATATTGTTTCATAATGAGATCTCACGCTGCAAAGCAGCTCCCACGTTCTCATTCTTAGAGGATTTGTTGGCCGATTGTGCGCTGACATGTAGCAGATGCGAGAAAACCTAAGAAGACGGAGTGAGCAGCAGCGCTGGACTTGTCTACAGTCTTACTCCTTGCTCGTTGGTGGTGATCGAGTTCCTGTGCCCCCCCGAACTTAATGCGCTCTGGGTCCTGACAGCTGATCCGCTGTCACTCATCATGGTGTCCGACTTGGGTCGATATTGGATAGTGCCGTTGTTCTCGAACAGGGACGGGCAGGAGGTGCTGAGCTCCGTTGCGAGGGTGCGCTTGAGAAGCTGGATGTCGCCGTGCTCTTCTATGAACTCCGTGGTGTGTTCCAGCGAGGAAGCAAAGTCTTCTCCATCCTGTATGGCCTCTGACATGTTATCGCAAACCATCTTGAACACGATTCCCCAGGCTTTCTCCACGTCCTCTGTCCACTCCTCTCCGGATACATCAGCGAGCACGTTCATGAAGACAGGACCGATGAGAGGGATGTGATGGGGTCGAACGTTGTATTGTACATGTCGGATTCCCAGCCAGCTCACCTGCTGCTTCATGTTCTCTGGGTCGTCAGCGAAGGAAACCAGCATACCAAGGGTGTCGCCCATCTTGACTGCCATGTACTCTCTCGGCTTTGTGAAGAGGCTTGCCACGTTGGGGGCTAGCCGGAAGAGGTGATCATAAACCATCTCTCCCAGCTCTCCTGGAGTGTACTTCTCCAGCACAGCCTCCCAAGAGTCTCTAACGACACTCAAGGTCGATCCTACCTGCTTGAGAGTCTGATCCAAAGAAGTTCCCAGGTAAGTCCACATCCAGATCCAGGCCTTCGTCTCCTCTGGTAGCATGTCGTCTCCGAGAGATGTCCGGAAGACTGCAAGCACGATTTCCTGCATCAACGGCATCTGCGATCCCTTCACTCCTTTGCGGTGATGCAAAGGAGCAAGATCAGCTATCTTGACGTAGATGTCGACCGGGTTTTCAATGTTTTCAACGATGCTCGACAACATATCTACAAACTTTGTTCCTTGTACTGTCGGGTTGGTAAAGCGGAAGAGGGGTTCGAGGTACTCGTTGTCCTTCACAGATTCATAGATGGCCGTTCCAAGATCTGCGTATGAGACTGCCTTCAACAATTTGTTCCACGATGAAATGATGAATCTTGAATAATATTTCCATTCCGACATGTCGACTGGAGGGGCGTTGCTGCGGCGGATCGGAGCATGTTTCCTCCTATTTCTCGTTCGATAGACTCCGCCATTAAGCTTCAAGTTTGTACCTTGCAGCGCCTGAGACCTCTGAGCAAAGCTCTCTCCCGCTGTGAAGACGGTAGACGCATGTCGCGAGGAGATGGATACGTCTTCCCTCGATCTCATCGACCTTGGCGACTCGTACGCCACCCCGTTAGGGACGTAGAAGTTCTTGTAGGAGGTAACACCTCCCGCACCTGACTTCTCACTCTTGAATGAATGAAACGACCCGGTGAGTTTTCGGTTCGATCCCCTCTTAGCATGCAGAGGCTCTTCATGCCTGGAATGTTTGAACGAGTTTGACAACCCAATCTCACTATCTTCACGACCGTGTTCACTGCCAGCCGACCGGCTTCTCGTGAAGTTATCCGATGGTTCTTCTGCATTCTCAGGAAATTTGGGCTGAAGTGAGCCAATCTTGTCCAACGGCAGCTTAGTGAGGGCCAAGAAAGGGCAGCCAGCGCAGTTGTCACCGTTCTTGCTGATGTCCGGATGGCCTGGGACAGGAGGATGATTCTTGGGCATTCCATGCTCGCTGCCCATGGCCCCGAATGGAGACCTCTTAGGACTACCTGAGTCAGACGACCTCCTCGGTTGAGAGGCTTGATCAGTAGGTTTGTATCCAAGCGAACGTTTCGGGGAAGCAGGTTTATCGGAGATGCCTTCCTGCTGAGCCTTGGGCATCGGTAACTTCTCAATCATCTGTTTTCCGTCTTGCTGACCGCCAGCTTCCAGGCTCTTCGTCTTTCCTTCATCTTCCTTCCCAACTTCATCTTCCTCCTGCTCCTCCTTCAGGATGTCCAAAGGAACGAAGGGATGTGCGTGCATGTGGAAGGCTTTTGCGGCAACTTCTGTATCGCCGACTATAAGGTTAGCTTTGATCTCATGGGGATCAATGGAGTATTGAACATCTAGTGTCGGCTTTGATAAATCCGCCTGGTGCTCGTAGTACTCGCCAAACCTCGGGGAGTGTAAGTCCCCTGCAGGACCCGGCGCTTGAAGGTCAGGCTCGTTGACCCTATGGACTGACTGCTCTGCTTCCTTTCCTGTATGCTGTCCATCGCCATTCTGATTGGCTGAATCTGCAACATCTCCAATGTAGAATCTAGCGAGCTCTTGATGGGCATGCTTGCTGTGTATCCTCAAAAATTTCTCGGATGAATCTCTCCCATAGTTGTTCTTGAGGATGAAAGCACCGCCCGGGTGTTTGTTGATATATGTCGACACGTCAAAGACCATCTCTTGGATGATAATGAGAGCATCTCCTGCTCTAACCCTCTTCTCAACCTCTGACTTGTGGATTGTGGGGTTTCCTAGTGCGTGCTTCTTCTTCTCAACATCTCTGGTGAACTTCTGGTCGAGCTGCTGCTTTGAGTCTTCACTCTTAGACATGCTTGAAAGGACTCAATGGCAAATTTCAATGCAGTGTTGCTTCATTCCTGCGAAACCATGTGTAAAGAAACACCTTTGGGTTCGTTTTGCAGCTATCTAGCACGTTGAATATGCGTTGCAGTTTTGGAAGAAACTGTTGGGTAGAGAGAAGATGACAGTAACAGTGAAACAATAAAAATCTTCTGATCATGAATAACGATCAAATCTTTCATCGCAAAAGCAAGAGGCGTCTCTAATCAGGAAGAAGATGCTACTCAATCTAGCAGGGCTATGGTATTTCTCTTGCATCCCATGTGGGGTTTGGGTTCGTTGAACTGCCATTGCGGACAACTGGAGAGTCTAGTGCAGCATGGGAGCGAATCAAGAAGACACCATCATTCATCATGAAGGATAAGAAGCGTGAAATAGATGCAGGATTGGCACCAGGGGAAGTAACAAACAGGGAGTTTAGACGAGCAGTAGATGAGCTCAGCAAAATCCTCATGAACCGGATCGGAACAGCTAGTATCGCATCCCACGACCAATACTTCAGCCCTTCCTGCATATCATCTACACGACATCCTCATGCTGCGTTTCTGAAGCCTACTGACAGCCCTCATCCTCTCCCTGGCTCCTCCCATGCACATTTTTCCAAGTCGCATCCCTTGTTCATTCCTGTACCCCTAGTACCCACCCTCCCACAAGGACTCTAGTAATCCCCTGGGAGCAAGAACCCTCCCTCAATATACCCCTACAATTCCCCCGAATATACCCTCCCTTTCCCGCAAGAGGCTTCTTCTTTCCCTACCCCCACCCCCTTTCTGGTGTTACCACCCACCCCCTGAATCTCTCCGATAATGAAGGTCAATACGGCCCCACTACTCGCATCATCAGCCTCATTCACACCCACCCCACCCCCTCTGTAGCCAATTTCACTACCCCAGTACCCTACCCTGGTCTGCTCCAATTTTTTTACTCCATGGATCCTACTTCAGAGGGTTAATAGGTATAGTTCCCAGTGGGTGAGGGTAGGTACCCCCCTCTGAAACAGAGGGTGATTTGGTACTTACACAGAGAGGGATTGAGGCTAAAGGTAGGTGGGGTACTCGGTGCCATGGGAGGCCAAGTAAAGTAGTACCGCTGGTAAAAAGTACTTTTACCAGAACGGTACTGATATGAAAGCAACGGTACTGATATTAAAATAGTATTGTAGCCATAGTTTTATCCTGGTACCAGACGTTATTATTTTCAGTCACTCAAGACGTGAATAAAAGAACCCAATTACAAGATGGTTCCATGCAGAACTGCGGCCGCACTGCGAGGAGGGTAGGAGGTTCAACAAACATGTCGGGCAAGGACCAGGCGAGACCAGCTCCCTGTGGCGGATCAAGGTCAGAGACAGCAATCTAATCATGCAGATACTTGACAGGGTAGCACTGGGAGTATAGCGACACACTGAAGAATCAACCTTACAAGGAGCCTCAGCTGTTGGGAAAGAGGCAGATCCTCGACGCAGTGTTGAGCACTAGCAGCGTATGGATGTGAAGAAAGTAAGACGAACGACGGATATTCTCCCGAGCCTGCCACGGATCAACAGTTTGCGCTTGAAGGTGAAGAGATCATCCTTGGTGAAATTTCCTGGTGAGGACAGAGAAGTATGGGAAAGATTTCATCGACGACAAGGAGAAAGAGCTTATAGCTGAATTGAAACAGTTGAGAACAATCTCCAACGGCTAAGGGGCTGCAATAGCTGCTAGATGGATACATCGGGCATGAACAGCAGCTCACTGCAAGCGCTATGACTGGGCGAAACTCTAACAATCTCCGTGCTAAGGTGTTTTAGTGCCGGGTCTCAGCAAGCTCCTTACGGTGTGTCACAGAGGGCCGGGCCTGACTTTGACAGCTCAATTCAGATAGTGCTCTATCAGACCTTCTCTTGCCTACTCGAAGCTAGCCATCTCCTTCAAGATAAAGATAGTTACCCTTTGCGACTTCTACAGGTATGATGATTCCCATGAAGATTGCAGCTCAAATGAGCATGAACTGATGGGCTGTAAACCAACATCACTTTCTATACATTTTGCAGCACAATCTTTCACATTGCAAACAACATTCACTGAGAGGCCCCGCTCTTTCAGCTCAACCTCTGCTCTCTCTACAAGGCGCTCCATGATCGCTCTCACTCGTACGCATATCAGCTCGTGATTTCCTCCATCATGAGACGCTTGCTGGCTGCATCCTCCACTGGCTCCTTGAAGAGCTGGACCGTCTCCTCGACGTGGCCCTGAGTAGTCACGAGACAAGATCAAGGTCGCCAGTGACCGAGGGATACGGAAGATACATTGAAGCTGCTCTCTGATGCGAATAGCAAGGGCTCTCATGTGCATACCGTTGCCTGCTTATGATGTTCTCCTGTACAAGGGATGATGCTGCGGCAGGCATCTGTTCGGCATGTAGATGACCATCTACTGCAAGGATGCTCAAATGTTGTCTCCGATGATGTTTCAGTAGAGTCCAAACCTTCCTCGCATCTGTTTTCCTCAGCGATAGAATGCTTGTTTGTACTGAAGCCACTGCTGCTGCTGCTGCTGCTGCTGCTGCTGCTACGGCCAACCCCCTTCTGCTGGTTCTCCTGTGCTCCTTACTGCATGTATTGGAATTGCATTTGCTGTTTGCTAGAGGAAATCTGCTGTCATTCTTATCCTTGCGAGGTTGAGAAGAGCCTCGTCAACTACTGACATGCTCTCCTACATCATCGCTGAGAGGAGGACGGAGTGGTAGGGATAGTATTCACAACAAACAAAACGAGGAGGTCAAATCATACATAACAAAAGAAACAAACAGATGAAATTTACTCACATACATCAAAATTAGCAAACATTCCTCGACCTCACATGGTCGTACTCTCTCTTCTTCTTCTCCATCTTCCTTCCTGCTGCCCCCCCCCTTCTTCTCCTTCTTGCTTCCTGCTGCCCCTGCTTATCGCTACAAACTTGACAGGGCGGACTTGGAGTCCTTGTAGGTCATCACCTCGTTCATGGGCTCATCCACACGCAGCAGCTTCAGCGACAGGAGCTGTCGATGCGTCCGGGAGGGTAGCCAGGACTTCAAACTGTTCTAAGGAAACAGTGGATGAAAAAACGAAAATCCTTGGCGGGGACCCTCCTGCTCTTTCTTCTCTCCATTCCCGTTTCCGATGTGAAATTTGTCCCTGGTCTTCGTATGCGCGACCTTCGCTCGCTCCAGGTAATTCCCCTGTTGTACAGCAATAAGGAGCAAGAGGACAAAGTCGTCCAGTCACCTCATCCTTGTCCTCGCTGTTGTACATGTTCGTCTGATCGTTCATGAGTGAAACCATCTGTGACAGCACACAACTCACTTCCACCATTCTCTGGTAACAACTGCTTGACCTTCTTCGGTAAACTCCGGCAGAACTCGTTGAAATGCGTGACCTCTCGGTCGTTGGCAGGCTGAAGGTCCTCCTATCAACATGTCAGGGCTGCAGGTGAGCAGGAGATGTGACATTTACCCATGAAGCGGCTGAAGCTTGCAGACCTCCCCATGCTGGTGGGTCGTTGAGGTTCAAGTCTGTGGTCTTGCGCAAAGAGAAGGACGTCCTTGGGTTTACAGGAGAGCGAGGAGGAGATCGAGGAGGAGAGGTCGGCCTCGATATACCCCTCAAGTCCTTTCTTGAAAGAGACTTGCGGATCATGGACTGCATTTTTGACTCACCCTCGCCATTCATGTACACAGGTTCGTCGTAGTCCGACTCAGGATACTGCAACGAGTATCACGATGATGCAACCATGACAGAGATCGTGCTCACGCTTGAAGCTGTCTTTCGCCATGGCTTCTCTTCACGATGTTTGCTAACTTCTTTGCTGTACTCAGCGAATTCATCCTCGTGCACTCCAGATTCGAGGAGCTTCTTGTCGAAGTACATCTTGAAATGGAGCAGCACAAAGCCGAAACCTGCATGTACAGCATCCCAACGAACAAGTCAACAACTCAAACTGAACAAAGAGAAGCATCTACAAGATTTGGCGATCACGTCCAAGATGCAGTGCAAGATGTGATTCGTGTCGTTCGATATGACATTTGCCGCTCTGTAAGAAAGAAGCCATAGAATAGCAAAGATGGGCCAAATTCCTGACATGCATATCAATCTTGAAATTTCTGACAGAATGAAAACTCACCAAAGTAGATAATGACAGCCGCCTTCAAGTGTCTGCAGCAAAAGGTCACCGGCGCGTCAATTCAGCAGGGAACAATCACTTGATGCTTCTCTTTGCATTGCTGTCATGAGCACACTGCGTAATAAATTCCAGTCTCTCCCTCACGATGGACAGCATCAAGACATATGTGAATATGAACAACACCATTCCCATGGCAAACCAGTAGAACGAGTAAGGGGCAACTGCAAGGCTGCATGCTACTCCAGTGATCATGACCGTGAAGACCAGGACGGCGCTTGTGATCTTGTATGGGGCGTCCAGGCACCACATGAGATCCAACGTGAGCAACGGACAGGTTGTGGCGTAATCGAGGTAGGGGATCTTCGTCAAGGGCACGAATCCATCGTCGTCGGAGTGTGACTGCAGGACCTTTGCAAAATAAGCAAGAGCGCACCTGAACAAACAGATAATCACGTATCACATTCGAAACTCATCATGTTGTCTTTTGTCACCATAAGTTGATGATGACAGTCAACATGTTTTGTTCCCTAAAGCCATTGTAGTAGTTTTCGTTTCCTCTGCGTGGTAGTAAGTCAGTTGATCCAGCATCCCTCTAACGAGAAAGACTTACCCAGGACCCTTGTATCTTAAAGAAATGAAACACAAGACAACAAAAGATCCTGCGATTACAAGGAATGAAATCCAATTGGCTGCGATCACTGCACTGCTTTCCACCATTTCTACTAACAGGTTTCACAGAGACACGGGGAGCAGCGAAGATAGGGAGGAAGAACCAGGAGAGAATGAGAGCCTTGAGAGGAGACGAGTAGCAGGACGAGGAAGGGGAAGAGGGGGAGGGGGAGGACAAGAGGGGGAGGGGGAGGACCGAAGGAGGAGGGCAAAGAGGAGGGGGAGGAGGAGGGGGGGAAACTAGTAGAAACCTGTGGAGGAATATACCAGGGGGATAGGCAGGTCCTAGGATCTGCTTACCAGGCTGAGTTTTTGAGTTATATAATCTTTTTCTTTTGGTTTTTTAGGACTGTCTACCGGTCGTTCAGTCAGGGGAAGGACGAGGAGTCGAATAAACTCGCACTGTTTTGCTTCCAAACGTCGTGGTCATTCGGTAGGTTTAGTCCTACGGCGGTAAAACTTTGTAAAATCCGGGGATTGTCTCTGTTGACTGAATTATTTGTGCCAGGTTGCAGTCAGGTCATAGGAAGTAGGTCCTAGTAGGACCCGTAGGGGTCACTCCTCCGATCATGTACCCTGATCACGTTACCGGCAGTCACCGGCTATGGGCTATGGGGGCGCAAAGAGCCTGGCTCCGACTCCCGGGCGCCGCCGCCGGGCCGCGGGCCGGCCCCCGGGCCCCCGCCAGCCAGCCTGGCAGCCTGGCAGGCTCACAGGCTCACTCGGAGAAACCGTGAGTTCGGAGGATGCGAAACGGTCACCGGGTTGAATGTTCGTGGACTTCGGAATTCGTCACAGTAAAATGAGAATCCTTCAACAAGATTGTAATTCTTTCCGCACCTGTAACTTGTGACATGATGCCGTCTGAATTCAACAGTCACGAGACTCGCAGCCCGCCGTTTCGGACTCCGGGAAGCCTTCACTCTCTGCAGGCTGGGGGGCAGCGCACTGCCGCTGCGGCACGCCTGGCCGGGCAGTCCGTTCAATTGGCGGGCGGGCCGGGCCCAGGGCCCACTGCCGGCCACTACCGTACGCGGCCGGCGGCCCGCGGCACGGTCACCATCTCAGTGACTATCGGCCCATGGCCGGGCTGCCGGGCCCCCGGGTTACGTATTTTGAAGTTCAATCGATGCGTTCGAATGAAGTTCGTCCCCCCCGGGCCTCCCTGCCATCAGGGGAGATTCGCGATGACAGTCAACAAATCGGTAGTAAAAATGGGAAATGAAAGATATTTTTAGCTCCAAATACAAATATTTAAGTTTGAAAACACATCATGCAACGACTTGAATTGTTTCAAGACTTGCGAAATTGAATTTGACCTGCGTTATTTTATTAGTCTCCCTAAGTAGTAACCGTTATGTAACGAATCAACAACTTGGCGTGTAAATTCAAATGGCTGGCGGTCGGAACAGCGCAGGCGACCTGGATGGCAGGGAGGGAGAGACAGAGGAGGAGGAGTAGAGGGAGAGGACAGTGAGACAGAGGAGGATAGTACAGGGAGGGTAAAAGAAAACATTGGAAGACGTCAGACGGAGGAATGGGAGGTTCAGTACATTAGCCAAGACGGGTCTTGGGGATGGGCTTTTGGAGATAGGCACTGGGAGGGTTGGAAGAGATGCGAGTATGAAGAGAGCAAGCAGGAGAAGGATATAGTGCAGATGGAAATCATTGGGCAGAGGCGGTGCGGCTTGTGAGATCTGGCAATAGAATTCAGAAAACAAGTGTAACTGAGAACTTTGTCGTGTAGTTCTTCATACCATACTTCTGATGAGAGACTTCTGATAAATATTTGAGACTGTCAGGCGCTGTCATGTTCTCCGGGGTGGGTAGCGAACAGCTTCGACCCGTCACCTTGTGCGGGAGGAGGGACGTTGCGGGGATTTCAAGGTTCACCAAAGTACGTAACTGACCAGCTGCCAAATGTTTGATGCGAATTCAACTACTTCCTCGCTCCCGCTCCCGCTCCCGCTCCTGCCCCCCCTCCCGCTCCTGCTCTCACTCCCACGTTTTTCTTTTCCGTTCCTTGCTCATTCTCTTTCCATAGGTCACGCAAGCTTTCGATGAGTTGCAAGGGTCATCAGTATCAGGGAAGGACCTTGTGAGATCAGATTGCTCGAGCCCTTTGCAGAGAGACCCCAGGAAATTCGAGCGATGCTGCCCAAGTTCAAAGCTGACTCCTTCTCGTCAGCTCCACGGAAGAAAATTCTTTCATACGCCCTCGCACGAACTTTTTCGAGGTACAGAGGACGAGGAGAAGAGAAAGGGAGTGAGCAAAGAGCGGGAGGGAGGGAGAAGAGGGAGGGAGGAGGTGCTCTGTCTGAAGGAAAACGAACTTTACAGCTTGCGAAGCGACAAAAGCTTCTTTCTCCCTCCTGCTTGTTCAAGTCTCAACAACCCAAGACTAAGAGGTCTCAGTGATAGTACTTGTTGTCCAGTTCAGATGTCTCACTTGCTCTCTATCAACAGCGCGACGCTTGATTCTCCCTCACATGCGCAGGCTATCGCCTCCCTCAAGGTCCTCTACCTCCGCTCCTCATTTCACCCTCAACTTTGTGACCTCCTCCTCCGCCCCCCACCCCCCCCCCCCCAACCCCCACTCCGCTTCATCCTCAATCCTCCATCCTCCCTCCTCGCTCTTCTTCCTTCGTCTCTCGCCCTTGATTTTGCTCTCCTCCTTTCAATATCAACTGCTTTGTTTCTGTTGCTCGAACGATTTGGTTTGAATCGTCTTCAGAACAATCATCGTGTGAAAGTTTTGAGAGAAGTCCACAACAAGATCATCTCTGGATCCCAAGTCAACCCGGCAGCTGTCAAAGTCAGTAGAGACCCTCTGACTTGAAGTGACTTGAAGTGCTCAATCTTGTCCTCAGTGCTTCCCGGCCCTTGACCCGACCGTCCCTCCCAACAGCGATAGAGAAATTCAGCACAGCAAGGCTCCTCCCCCCGGTATGAGCTTACTACCCTACTCAACATCATGCCCACACCTTCTCGTCTCTCCACTTCATATCTCTCCCACCCGTCTCTTCCCTCCCCTCTCCCCTCCTTGGATCTCTTACCTCTACCCTCCTTGACTCTGTCTACTCCCCTCCTCCCTCCCCTCTCTCCGCATCTCCCCCTCCCTCCCATCTCTCCGCATCTCCCCCTCCCTCCCCTCTCCCCGCATCTCCCCCTCCCTCCCATCTCTCCGCATCTCCCCCTCCCTCCCCTCTCTCCGCATCTCCCCCTCCCTCTCTCTCCTCTTTGCCCTCCTTTCCTCGCTCCTGCAGCTGATACCGTTGCTCTGTAGAAGTTACTCCCAGGAAGTCGCATGAAAATTCTACATTCACCGATGACTCTATCGACTTGTAAGAAGAGGAGGCAGCGGATGGCAGAAGGCGGGAGAGGTGGAGGGAAGGGAGGAGAGAGGGAGGGGAGGTAGCGAGGTAGCGAGGAGAGTTGAGGTGGGCAGGACATGGTAGTAGCTGATTGAGGAGCAGGAGGGGTGGGGAGGACGCTGCCTTCCTCGCTCGCCTGAGAGCCTCAACCGGCATGGCGACTCCAGGTGAACTTGAAACTAAGAGATTGAGAGGAGGGGGGAGGGAGAAGGACGGACGGACGGACGGAGAGGGAGGGAGCGAGGGGGACGGACGAACGGAGGGAGAAGGAGGGACGGATGGAAGGAGGAGGAGGATTGAATGGGGGAGGGGAGAGACTTATCAATTTCCTGCTTCACTTTGGAAGGGATAGGAGAGGAAGGTAAAGCGATGGCCGTGCATGGCTGAGATCTTGAACGATCCGTCATGCTCCTGCCCTCTCGCATGCTCCTGCCCAATCTCGCGCCTCATCCTCCTCTCACGCTGAACCTGCAGTCACTCCCATCCTAGCAGTCAACTCTCCCAACCGGAGGTCTGTCGCCTCTTTACCCGCCTCCCTCCTGCTCTTGCTCTCTCTCTCTCTCTCTCTCTCTCTCTCTCTCTCTCTCTCTCTCTCTCTCTCTCTCTCTCTCTCTCTCTCTCTCTCTCTCTCTCTCTCTCTCTCTCTCTCTCTCTCTCTCTCTCTCTCTTTCCTCGTTCTCCTCCTCCTCCTCTTCCCCATCTCCTGAATCCCTTGTCCTATCTAACGCAGCCGAGCAGGAAAGCCTTTCAGGTCCAGGAGGAGGGAGAAACCATCGCCAAGAAGGTAGTAAGAGGATGGAGAGCGGGCGTAAGTGTGTTTTTTTGGGGGGGGGCGGGGAGCGGCAGAATAAGCGGGGGAGGGGGAGCAGGAGAGTTCTATTGACTGCCACCTGCCTCAGTTCTTTTACGGAGAAGAAAATGTGGACCCAAACGTCGAGAGAGATAGTATCCTCCTCCTCCTCCTCCTCCTCCTCCTCACCGC